TATTGAGACAACTATTTTTTCTGTCCTTTAAGTAGGAACTAAACCAATTTAGAGCTGTTGCTGAAACCTCCCACCCAGTTTTCTAGACGATCTAGCAATATGTGACCCGCTCTATCGAAATCAGTCGGAATTCGCAACGGCTCATTTCAAAATAAACGTAGATATGCGTAAAAAACTAGTTATTTGGGGTTCGGGTGTTTTGATTGATTTTAAATAAACAAAGTCTTGGCTTTCAGAATATGAAACTTTTATTTAAACAATAGGCCTACACACATACGCAAAAATACACAAACACACAAACCCCAGACCAGTAATCCAAACGAAAATATTTCCCCTCCGGACTATTTTGATCATTTGTTCCGCTAATAATCAATCAGATCGATGGATTCCAGAGAAGAGGAAACTTTAACCTGTTAAGCCCCAAGGTCCCCCCTCGGCGGGGGCTTTGTTTTTTTCACAACACTGTGTCTCAGGGCATCTTCATTTTTAAAAACCTATTAATGTGTTATACCAGATTAACGGGAAGAATCTCAGCTAACTGACGATACAAACCATTTTTACCAAAACAAAACACAAGTCTCATAAGAAGCATCTAAATGACCCCTGAGCGAAAAAATGCTAACACACTTTGGCACCGAACTCAAGATAAAGATACCCTTATTACTTATCGTAGCTGCACATACAATATATCCGATTAAAGCTGAGGTTCCACAGATTATATAGGTATAGTATCATCACTGAGCGATCAGAACTCGCGACAGGGGAAGCAAACACAGACATCACAACACGTAGTATTACGGAGCAAAAACGGGACATTGTCTCACCTTAGCTGTTATTCTGATCAAAAGTCGTGTTCAATGGGATTAAAACAAGAAAAAACGCGGCTGAGGGTTAATCCATAGGTTAATTGAATGTGTCTGTCACTTTGAAAAAATTATTTATTATCCATAATTCCATTTTTATGTAAAAATCGGAGAGTAAAAGTTAGCTGCTAATGGTAGCCAGAGTTATCGCAGCTTCCGGCTTTGGCTATGCGTCACTCCCACTCCTTATTTGATAAGGTGTGTGTGTATGTGGGAGTTCCCCTCGATTCCATTGGCTCTAGCGATTAAAAAGAGATGTCAATCATCAAAATCGACCAAGGGGGGCCAGATATATGAAAAAACATCCAAATGACCCCAGAAGTGTTTTTTTTTGCTAAATCTCTCTATAAAGGTCAAATTTCACTTGTTTTGCATCAATCTTGATACAGGGTACTTATTATATGTTGTACTTTGGATTCCTAAAGCTTTTAGTCTACCATCCCATCATTCAAGGGTGGTTTTCACTATAAGTAATATTTTTTGGAAAGACACTATAATTTACATTTTTTTACTGTAGTGTGTTCAATCTGAATTTACTTTAAAATTAAAACAAATTGATTCTGATACTTCTACATCCAACTCACAGATGTAACCTTGATTTGAGAAAAAAGATTATTAATTTAACCCTTTTAGAAGGGAAGATATGATCATTTGTTCTGGGAATGTTATTTTCGAGCCTGAGACCTGAAAACAGGCTCGGGGCTTAACAGGTTAATGTCCTCTTATAAAAGTGAATTCCACAAATCACTGATGTTTTGATATTTTGTAGGAAACAAGGGAGCAGTGGGAGTTTCCTTCATGTTCAACCGTTCATCGTTTGGCTTTATCAACAGTCACCTGACCTCGGGAAGTGAGAAGAAGCTCAGGTTGGTAACAGAGAACAAAGCCAGTTAGTCTACATTTATCAGTAACACTATAAACGGATCAAACTAAAACTGTAATTTCAGTGTCTTTACTATTTTCTGTAGTCGCAGTTGCAAGTTCTTTCTGGGCTTTTTTTGCCTCTCCGGCGTCATACATACAAACTGCCTAGGCACTCAAATTGGTGGAAGTTGTTGTAGTCAGAAGGCACAGGAAAGGAGCTCTGCAGAGGCTTCTACTGAAATTGACAAAATCTAGAAAAGGATTATCAAACACTTACTGAATACATCCTAATACTATGTTTAGTTAAATCATTGTGGGTAGGTAAAATAGCTCGCTATCTTAACCTTCAATCACTATTAAATAAACAGTTAAAGAATTGTTTATTCACTAGTAGTGTCAATTGATTCAAAATTGTCTTAATCACAATAATAATCCTGTGATTAATCATGATTTATCACATGGTCAAAATACTAGTATTGACTTCATCTAGGATGGACATAACACAAATACGTGTTTGGTGTTGTAATAAAGGAATGTATGACAAACTAGTAAGTGAAATCAGTTTAATTGTTAGCATGAAGTTGGACATTTTGCTCAAGGTATGGACAAAGCCGCTGGCATGGAGAGCCGGTGTAATGTGTGAGCATATTATCGTATGCAAACAATGAAAGTGCAATTATTAGCAAAATAAAAATTTGAGCTAACAGAAAATCCTCCATATTAGTTTAATACACACAGTTAAGCTAGCACACACTATTGTATGAACATATAGGTTCACCTGCTGAATTAAAAAAAGAACAAATGAAGCAAAGAAAGTGAAAACCATGAAGCAGATTCAGGCAGTAGGCGTATGGATTCACACTTAAAGTATTATCCTACAGAATAGTACAGCTGACAGAGAAGAGAGAACATCTGATCCTTTACAACAAACACTATATGCTCTTTTTAGCTTGTTACTAACGCTTTATTCCTGCTAGTAGGCTAATCCCCGTTTTTTCAAAATGAAAAAAGTCTGATTACATTATTTGTTAAGTAACTAAGGGATTACAGTTACCTTTTTTTGTATCCTGATTACATAATCCCATTACAACATTACCGTTACCATTTCAACATTACCGTTACACCCAGGTGGTGAGGGTCCGTACTGATGTCCAGTGGTCTCCAGTCAGAGCCAAATATTAGTTTTTGCCACTTCCTTGGCTTTCTTTGGCATTGGCACAAATGTATTAATAAACATTTCCCTATGTAGATACACGAGGAAGATACAGATTATGTTATGAGTATGTGTAATTTAAAGATAGAAGTATGCTGTTTGTGAACTTCCCAGTAGCGCTAACTAGCTCACTTCGCCTTTTGCTGATTTTGTCGTATTAGCACACTGGTTTAACTGTTACAAGAGTTGAGACAGTGATGCTTGAAATATTAACTTATTATGCCCTTGGTGGTGTATTTGTACAACAATAGTCACTACTGCTTTTAGTTTACCTATCTAACAGTTACAGAGTTGTCGAGGACTTTATTTTGTTTAACACATTCAAGCAATAATAGTATGTATTGCCGACATGCAATACATTTGAATTTATTTGCAGACGAAATCAAAACTACACAAACATCCTGCGATTTGTGAATCTGGGGGATAAGAAGCTCAATCCGTTTGACATCACACATCGCTTCACACACCTCTTCTGGCTTGGGGATTTGAACTACCGCGTTGAATTCCCATCCACAGTAAGTTGTTTTGGATTGTAGTTTGCTGTATAGAAGCAACACAAACACAAAATGATGTAGTTTGATGCAAGATAACGTTTTTGCTACCACCGGATATATAACGTTTGTGTTGATATCTTAATAACAAAATGCTAATTATAAGCTATGTCTGTTTTATAAATACATGTTTGCATTGCTGTAGTTTAGTGGTATATAAAAGAGCATGCTGGATGTCAGGTGTCTAAATTCTCAGCTGCTAACACTGTTAGGCAGAAAAGTCACTTCTCTACACTGTTTCCCTTCACAGGAAGCTGAAAACATTGTGACAAAGATCAGACAGCAGCAGTACCAGGAACTCCTCAGTAGAGACCAGCTCAACACGGAGAGGAATGATGGAAAGGTCTTCTTGCATTTCGGTGAGCCTTGGATCATATTCATTCATAAAGAAATGCAGCGTGTGAGGCCTGTATGTGCTTTTCAAATTCCTAAGGAAGGCAAGTGAGTAAAATACATTCTGTTGATAACTTGTTGAAAATGTAATCCAAATGATTATATGTCTTACTTAATCCCTGGTTAGAAAACAATGTTTTGCTACGTTTATTTTCCCAGGTTCCTTTTTTTTATCTGAGAGTTTTGGTGGATTCTTTTTTTTTCTGTAAGGATATTTTTCCCAGGTGTTGTTTTGTAACACTCTTTTTAGCCACAAGAGGCTATAACAAGTTGTCAGTTTACAGTACATCAGGGGTGTCCAAACTTTTTCACCGAGGGCCACATACAGAATAATATAAGAAGGACTGGGGGCCACTTATAGAGGTGAAGTATATTGCCTCGTAAATTAAGTTATAAGTTAGCAAAATGTAGGTAAAATTAGGCTTGATACATGAATACACTTTAAGAAAAAACCTGCCTACATCACAGCTCTCTATAGGGTTTCATTTCTCTTGTTGGCAGCTCATCCCTTCAAACAGAAGCCTCATAGTGATTATAATAAGATTAAATATGAAGGGTCTATTTCAAGCTTGTTATGTACATAACTTATTGGGCTTTTTCTTTATCAACTAAGATTTGTTAGAACATGTTTTCAAAAGTTGGCTTATTAACTCTTGAATACTACTGTGTTATATATTTTTACATATATATTTATGAAGTACAATATAAGAAAAGCACAAGTTTCATTTGTGGGCCATATTTCATAACTTTTTTAATTTCCTGAGGGCCAATTCCAAATGGCCCGCGGGCCGCATTTGGCCCCGGGACCGTAGTTTGGACACGCCTGGTGTAGATACAAAATAAAACACGTCTTCTTAACAATGATTTCATTATGTCTGTAGATGAAGAGGAAATTACTTTTCCACCAACTTATCGCTTTGAAAGAGACACGCGAGAGAAGTACGCCTACACGAAGGCCAAAGCCACAGGGGTAAGCTTGTGTCAGACGTCTTGTCCCTGACTCCTGACATGCCCCATAGTGCAGAAACTGTACTCTCATTTGACACAGAACATGGTTTTCGCTTTTAGCCATCTCGGTCAAAAACTCCATGTGAAGATATATTCTCATCTACAGGCTCCAGGATCAATTTCACACACTTCTCTTTTAGACTATTGAACCTCACACATTTTGATCTCTTGAATTGATCCATACCAGCAAGAATGTTTGAAATCAGAAATAACATAGCCTCCCTTCTGCTTTTTAATACTTAAAATGTTTTAAAGCTGTGTCTGGCAAAAGCTTGTAATGAGTCTTTTTGTATGTATCATGACTTTAACTCTACAGACAAAGTACAACTTGCCCTCATGGTGTGACCGGGTCCTTTGGAAGTCGTACCCCCTGGTTCATGTTGTCTGCCAAGCATATGGTGAGTCATTGGAGAACATGTATGGAACTGATTTATTCTACGGGGTCTGTCATTTCTGCATAATGGTTCTTAAAAAGCTCTCTAATATCTTACGTTTTTACTACTACTCAACTATATTTTCAGTTTTTGTTAAATCCTATGAAATTGTTCCAATGAATCGTCTTTTAGTTGTAGTTCAGGTGAACATTATAGAAGAGATTATTTTTTGAAGGCCAGGGTCTCTGACAGGCATATGTTGCATGCTTTGTCCCCGGACAGCACTGGACATTGTTTTATATTATAAAATGTTCCACTCAGCATAGAGCTTTGTCCAAATTCATAACAACTTTAAATATCAACATTAGATCAGCCTCAAAGATCCATTATTGGTCAGGCAATAGCAGAAGTATGACAGCTAAAGGCCAGATTACATTTCAATAAATATGAAAAGTAAATGTTTCATTAAATAAAAAATCTGATTTACTCAGTTTTTAAAACATATTAATTTCACCGAAAATGTTTCTTCCTGGAAAATACCAAGGAAAATGATTAAAAGATTATTTGTAAAAGATGAACCTGTCACCGAATGTACACAGTAAGTGTAGATAACTTGTCAATCGGAGCACTTAACCCCTGAACACATTTGTATTATGCTCTCTGCAGCTCTAAACTAAACTAACTAAAGGGGGGGTTTCATAGGCAAGGGCCTTTACCAGAGAGGGAGGGTTTAACAAAAGAAGACAGCTGCAGGGACTAAAGTCATGTTATCTCAGTGCCTGCTGCACACTTTCCCCATTCTTCGTATAATATTTCTCTTCTGAGTGCACACACAGGTCTCCTCAAAAAGTGTGAGAAAATAAAACCCTCTCTCTTTTCCTCCTTACCCAAATCTCTAAAATCGGGGGAACAACGGAGCTGATCCAGATTTGCTGCCAATATGACGTACTATCGGAAATGTGGGCTGGCTTTAAAACGTTGCTATCAGAAACAATGCACGACGTGTTTTGGAAGTAATATGGTCTTGCTTTACATTAGCAAGTATCGCTAACACTCAGAGCTAACCTGTACTGGAGAGAGTTTGTGTAAAGAAGCAGGAAATACAAGGAACTCACCTTGTGTTAAACCTGAGAGCTCCATACTGTTCCAGAAATAATTATTGATGTGGTTTTGAACATGATATGGCGTTTACTTATGGCAGCATTTAGTTGAGTTTCTGGGTAGAATTCCCAGGCACAAGCTCCCCCCCAACCCTCTTCTTTTTTTTAAAGCTACGGACCCAGAATCAGCACTTCTCTAACAGGACTGAAATAGAGGGGTATGAGGCTAGAATGGGTGATCAGTTTGGTTTTTGGAGCAAAACAATTCATAGACATGTTTTTTATATATTTGTATATACCTGAGACCTATAATATATGCCTACAAATAGTATAATAGGAGACCTTTCATAAAAGAGCCCTGTTAATGATATTTAGTGAGACAGACTCATTGTGCCAAACTTTCCAACCTGCAGGTTGCACTAATGACATCATGACCAGTGACCACTCACCATTATTTGCCTCATTCGAGGTGGGAGTAGCCTCACAGTTTGTCTCCAAGCAAGGTAAGACCACCATCTCTGGCTCCCTGCAGTAATGATTTCCTTTCCGGGGTTACAGGGTGATGTTGTCACTTTTACATTTTCAGACATGAACAGTGCACCTCAAGGTGGGATACAGATCAGGAACTGTATAGCCACCTTGATGACCAAATCAAAGACCAAGTTCTTCATCGAATACCATTCCAGCTGCTTGGAGAGTATGTCTGTTTGACTGACCCTATCACTTTTATTCTGCTGTAAAACGCTTCAATTATGAAAACTAATATTTCTTTAATTGTTTAACAGAAAAAGTCAAGACTATAGAAGGAGAGAACATGGAGAAATCGGATGGGTCAATAAAAGTTTCCTTTAGAAACCAAGTTGAGGTAAATAAGAAAGGAGCTTTCAGTGTGTGCTTGTTGTGGTAATAAATCATAATTATGTTGTCTTCTTCCTCTTTTCAGCTCACCCCTATCATCTCTGACCCAGAATACCTGTTGGACCAGCACATCCTCATCTGCGTGAAGTCCACAGACTGCGACGAGTCCTATGGTAACTGACTCACATGCAGTTTGTAATATGCAATAATCTGAGCAGGATTTATAGTTTGCTGGTGTCTTATTCCCAAAGGTGAGGGCTGTGTTGCCCTGAGAGCAGCTCAGTTCTCTTACAGAGAGTTTCAGGTCACACTGACTCACCACGGAGAGAAGACAGGCATTCTGACAGGCGGCATCCAGTTACCCACCTCGGAGTGCAAGCCCACTGAGAAGTTATACGGTCAGCAAATCTCATCAGGACTTCACATATTCAACTCTTCTTACTTCAGTTCTTTAGGCATTAATTCCTCTTTTTATACGCTTGCAGATTTCATCAAAATCGAAAGCTCTGATGACACTGGCTCCTCAAAAGGCAAAGGCGTTGATACCAACAAGTAAGACATTTTTTCACCTGTGATTACTGTCAGATAACTTAGACGTGACTTCAGTTTGTGATGATTTCTGTCTTCTGTTGACAGGTTTTCTGTCACACAATCACATGATATTTCTAACCCCAATTACATGGGAATTTCCTTCAGAAGTGGCAATGTGGTAGATAAAGGTTGGAGTTACAGCCTGCCACAGAAAAGTCTTCCAATCGCTGGCCAAGGGAGCAAAGACACCAAGAAGGGGGGCTATGATGTGGGCTCACGAAGCCCCACAGGAAAACATCTCAATCCCATGTGAGTGCCTGTTGTTTACGCATTTCATATCATCTCAGTGGTCAAACTAAAAAAATATATGATTTACATACACTCTGTTAATACAGAGCGAGTGAAGAGGTTTGATATTCTGAGAAAAAAAGTTGAAAATGCACGGGAAAAATACTCTCTCTGATTGAAGAGGTAAATATATATGGAATATGTTTACAAATATTCACATTTGTATTGTGAATTTAGGCCTTATTTTCTCAGAATATCTCCTGAATCTCCGTAATAATAGTTTTTTTTAACTACAATGACCCTCATGCACTGTCGTAGATATGGCTCAGTAGAAGCAGAAACTGACCCCTTGTTCTGTAGGGGGGAGGAGGAAAAGATGTCAGGGATGTTTGACAATCCGTTATACGGTTCGATGGGGAAATCACGGGGCAAGGACCAAGACCATCAGCAGAAGGACCTCCTCACACCTCCAGATCCCAACTTTACAACCTCCAATGCAGCAGACGGAGACCCTGATCGTCCCCCGCTGCCCACCCCACGCAACCGCTCCTTCACCTGCTCCGAGACAAAACCCCTGCCTTCCACCACCGTCTCCTCGCATCCCTCAACATTCAAGAAACCAGTGGCGCCATCGCGCTCTGAAGGGGGGATGGCACAGAGCCGGCCCCCTCTGCCTTCCAAGTCCCGGCCGGGCCTGCCGGAGCCCCAGAACCCCCGAGACTACAGGGAAAGCTCCGAACTCCCCAGCAAACACAGACTGCCTGCAAAACCTGGCCAGCCGCAGCCTCACAAAGACTGTAAGTACACATGTGTTTCTCTTATTGCAAGACTCTTAAATCATACATTTCCCAGCAAATACAATACATTTAATGATGCAGAAACTGTCTTTACATAGTGCACCCTGAAGTCACCAAGATGGGCCGTTCTTTGAAGTGAGGCCGGGCCACAGCAACTGCACGGCTTCCAACTCTGCATCATGGGAGCCAGGCCTTCCCCCTGCTATATGTATCACATACTGTATGAGTGACTATTATTTAGTAACTACGGAATATTTCTACATTTTGTATGGTGTGCCTTTTCACTTTCTTGCTAAAGAGAGCAATACCACTTTAATGTCAGTATGCTAAATATTACGCTATAGCAAGTTAGCCTAACCTAGCATGCAATCTTGTAGTCTAATAAAAAGTGCTGAGCAACAGATTTTTCAGACTTAATTTCTGCTAAGCTTTCATAAAAAATAAAAAATAAAGTTTGGAAATATACTGCTTATAAACAATTGTGTTGCTTTGGATGTGGAGTTTCACACTATAGTAGCTAACGAACGTTACGGCACAGTATTATCTGCATACACATTAACATGTTTGCCCTTGAGATGTCAAATATATGCTCAAATAATTTCAAAATCTCAGCTAAACTGTGTTATTTAAGATCTTTTTTTAAACCTGAACTCATAATCATTGCCTGTGACACTTTTAATAAAAACCTCAGTGAGACCAGTGCTGCAAAACTCAATGCTTCCATCTGCTGTTGTGTACAAGAATTTCATGCAGAGTGAAAATCAAGTCACCCAAGCTGCACAATCAAGAAGACTTCCTTTAAATTAATTTAAGATTTGCTGTTTGCCATGTGAATTGCTGGATAATTCTACCTCTTAAAGCCTAAGAAAATAAATGTTTGGTCCCAAGATACATTACATATGTTAACATTTACAATGTATGGAAGAGTATAAAGGCCAGGCATGAGGGGAAATATATTTTTGAGGCATTTAGTATTCTGTATTTTCAGAATAAAATCAATGTCTAGACTCTAGAGTCTAGAGACCATAGAGTAGAGATTGTATATATAAATGGACGTAGTGTCCGTGACGTCACCCATAGGATTCTGCAGAGTTGCAGAGAAGCCCTTAGTAGGCGGAGTCGGCCACTAACGTCTCGGCAGTGACGTCAGAGTCTAACTCCCGTCTGCTCCAGCCTGATCCAAATAAGGGCAAAGAGGCGGAGCCGAGGCGGGACCTGCTGCCACCGAGGTGGAATTTCCAGAGCTAGCTCAAGCTAAGAAGCTAAGCCAACATGAAATACATGCATACCAAGTTACTACGTGGCACTTTGGTTTTGATAAAACAGTGTAGTTCCACTATATAAACGTTACATTCACAATCAAACGAGACAATCTGCAAGAGAATTAGCTATTTTTTGTTATTCTTAATGCTTGTCATTCACACGTTCATAAAATAAAATAAGTGTCGATAGCAGCATAGCCTATTGTGGCGATGTTCAGCTTAATAAGCCTTGTTCAACATAATTTATTTAGCTAATACTACAGCGCAGGGCCGGCCCTTGGCATAGGCAGTATAGGCGAATGCTAAGAGTGCATCAATCAATGGGGGGCGCCAAAAAAAAAAAAAAAAAAGTTAGAAATTCATTTTTATTTTATTTATTTTATTTCATAACAACACAATTTCCCGATTTTGGATCAACAAAGTACATCTTATTATCTTATACTAACAGAACTACGCCTATATTGCGTACAGCGCCCATAAACTATGGCGCACCCCCCCCCCC